CCAAAAAAAAATCCTTCTAACAACAAGTCTCACTTCAACATCTTAGGAAGATTTTGACAAGAAGAATTGGAGTAAATTCTTTCTTAGAACTTAGACTACTGATGTCTTCAGTGAATATCAGAGTCACAGTTCTGGTGCAAAACGAATTCTTCCCACAAGTATAATGACCAATATGGCATGAGAAAAAGTGCTCAACTTACGTTATGTCTCCTGCAGCAGATGGAAATCCATATTCATCAAATAAGCGCATTAAATCACCAAACTGTCCATGAAGATCGCCAAATACTTTAACAGGGGCTTTCAGCTGAAGAACTGTTGGCTCCTGCATAAAGATCTGCTCAGCAGCATAACAAAGTTCTCCCACTTCATAAGAATCCAAGAAAAACTTCCTATTCACAGGAGCTTTCCAGTTCCGAGGTCTCAGCAATGTAGATATAATCTGCAAGGAAACAAATGACAAAAAACAATGTTGAAGTAAAAAATAAAACGTTAAAAGAAAAAGAAAAAGAAAATGTTAATTGATGCTTGCCTTCTTATGTAGGCCCTGTGGAGACTTCTGCCTAGTGAACTTTTTGTTAGGATGTGACAAGTCGTTATTCATTGGAATCATTCGTCTACTCTCATTTTCAAATTGATCCAAAGACAACTGTCTTACCATCCCACCCAGGTTACCTACAGCCTCTTTGGCAACGACAACCTACAACAACATAAAATTATAAATATGCCACTTAAAGATGCAAAAAAATCCCGAAATTAGGCATTGATACAACAGACATACAGCTCGGTGATGAAGGCGAACATCTGCCTCAGTGTCACTACCATCGGACAATGTTTCTGCAACATGTGAGTTATCATACAGCTTGCCAAACAGCACTAGCTGCCTCAGCTTCGGCTGCAGAAGCCTCCCGTAGTTTCTCCATAGAATTTTTGTCCATGCTGCCAAAGATTATTACGTATCACACAAATTATGAGCATGTGGCTCAGTCAAGTACTTGGGAAAAGAGGGAAACGAGGACACAGAAAAATACCTCGAACCACTGGATGGGGGACTCTCAGGTTCGCCATCCGAAGATGGTGATGTTCCAAAAGTACTTGTGTTTGCGTGAAACGGTCTGGGACTTGTTACAGTTGGCGATCTCTCAGATGTTAAAACAGGCGAACCAATTTCAGATTGAAATGATGAATTTTCTGCAACCAAGAAGTCATCTAGCAGGATGTCTGTACAAGAAGACAAACAAAAATTGTATTACCACATGATATAGTATATACAAAACCACATAGGTAGAGGAAGGCTGCACCAGAAGTGCATATTGGAATCTAATATAGACAGATCCCAGAGGTCATATACACATCTCGCTTAATTTAAACGTTTTTTAGTGTAGTAGTATAGCTACAAAACAAACCCTATGAAAATTTCATTAAAGAAATATTAACTAATACCATCTTCTTCTTTTTTCAGGAGACATCCCCTTAAATCCAAGATACCAATGCTAAATCTCTCATGTCAAGAATCTACTGATAATTAAGGTGGAAAGCTACTATATGATAATAAACAGAATGTTTTAGTTTATTCTTGCAAATAACACTTTGGATTCCCTCCTAACAACCAAAAATCAGTACGTCCATTCTTGCAATTAACACTTGATTCTTGTTTGTTATGCCATTACATTATTCACATTCTCAATTATGTTCTAAAGTCTTTACCTCCCTTAAGACCTCCATAAATATATATACGAACACCAAGAGATGCAGCAGCGTGGCGACAACGACGCATAAGCTCCAAAGGAGGATCATAGTCATTCTGTCCCTTTCCTGTCCGTGAGGAAGTCACAAGCCCATTTCTGTCTAGCCAAACTCCGGCAGCAGTGTCCAATACTATCAAATAAGGAAAAAGAACATACAAAAAAGGTATTAAGAAAACGTACTGAAATTACGATACAAGTCATGGTGATGAAATTGACAACCAAAAGATTACCTGCAATAGCTCCTTCACCTTCTATACCACGTCCTCCCCTAAGAGCACCTCCTGTGACATGTAATCTTGCACCAACGAAAACCTGACAGCAAACAATGTCAATTTGATGCTTAAATAGGTTCAATGGGTGGAGTTAAGTCAGAAGAGAGGCAGCCAAGTACGTACAAAAATGCAAAATGCATTCATACCAACATTATATGATTTCTTCGCTTAAATATATATTCCATAACCTAAGTGGTACACTTAGAAAACACATATCAAATAATCCTGAAACATACAAAGGGCAGTATATTCCTGGTTTATAAATTATCACTTACCGCAGCATGTTGATACCTTGGTGAAGGGGACACTCCAGGTGCAAGGGTCCACTCCCACTGACCATTCCTATGCATGAGCAGTCCATAAGCATCTGCTAGTGGCTGTGGGAGCATAGATATGAGCAAATGCATCAGATAAACTATTAGCCCAGAAGACCTCGAGTATACAACTGACACACACAATTCCCAACTATTTCTATTAGTAACTTCATAAATGAAGGCGAATTTATTATTTAAAAAAAATTGAAAAATTAGATCCATGGTTACAAGGAAAATCTACTTAGAGAAATAAAGCCTCTACAATTCAAAAAGACATCTCCAAAACACATGGAAAGTGCCAGAAGTGGTTTGATATAATTGAGAAATGTTTGCTAAAAAATTATATGTAAACTTCATGATCTTCAATGTCATGCAAGTGAATGATTCCCCCTAACTTTCCAAACCAATCCTAAATCACTTCTTGCTCCATGTTTCACATATGATTTGGAAATTTATCAAATCATCTGGAAAGAAAAGATCCCACATACCGCTCCAGAAATATCTCTTCCACCGCAAAGCAAAAACATGCCATCTGAGCGGGCACTGGCTGTTGCATACCTACAAAATAAGGTTGGTTCATGAAGTATTTACAAAGTCCACCAGCATTTTCATAACTTTTCAATTGTCAAAATATGAATATTACTCACATTCTAGCAGAAGGTCTGTCACCTTCTGGGTTCAGCCTTGCCCATGCATAAGGTTTCTGGGCAGTATCCAGAGCCCATGCATCAGAAAGAACTCTTTTTCCTTTAAAATAAAAGTTAACATTAATAAAAGATAAAAGGAACCATCACATGCTTCTAAAAAAAAGCCTTGCATTTGACAACAGTGAAACTCACGGATAACAATTACTTAGGGTTTAGTGAATACACCCACCATCGTTTCCACTGACAGTAACAAGATATCTTTGAGCAACTAAGTCCATTACATGGCCATACCGAGGCCCAGGTCCTTGTCCTTGTACAACCACTCTACAGACAGATAACAAAAAACCAAAATAAATATGATTCGTACCACCATTTTAAAAAATAATCTATAAAGTCTGAAGTAGGATAAGCTCAATTTAAGGTCACTTATGCTCACCTGTGCCATTTAAACTTGTCATTGGTTAAATCAAGCACGTAGAGATCGTCTGTAGAATGCCCAGCAGGACCTATGCCACCCTAGACATTGCACAGGAATCCACACATATCAAGCAAACACTCATTAAACCCAGTAAGAAAAGTTAATCCATATACTTTCAAAGCATTAAAAGCCCAGAAAAAGAAAACCTCCTGAATTATAAACCTCTAAATTTCCAATCAGTCCTCAAATGTATTTCTTAATTTACCTGAAAAACAACCATAGTGCCCACCGCAGCTGCCGCGTGAGCTGCCCTGGGAGACGGTGGCTCACCTGCAGGTCTCATTCTGCAAAATTTGAACACCAACCAAAGCAGAAGAACGATCAGTAAGCTTCCAATTCAATCCAACTAGTTATAAAGGTCAGATTTTTTTTTTTTTCCAAAGAAATAAAAGGAAGATAAAAGAGAGACATAATTCACAATTAACAAATGGCAAATACCTAGTCCACTTTCTGGTAAGAACATCATAGGAATGAACCGAATTGGTCACCCCCGCTAACCCTACGTTCAGAATTAACAAACGCTCACACAATTAAGCAAAATCGAAAAGGAACAACTTCAATAAAAAAACCAAAAACAGAAGAAGTTGAGAGAGGGAGAGAAATGGTACTGATGCCAGGGGCGGAGGAGGCAGCGCCGCCTTCAATGGCGGTGGCACCACCGAATAGTATGAGGCGCGGGCCATGGGTCTTGGTGGCAGCGACGGCGGTGAGGGTGTGGCCGCAGCGTGGACCAGGGCCGTCGTCGTCGGTATCCCAATAGGTCTCGAGAGTACGATAGGTCGGAGCCGGGTACAGCCATGGCTTCGAACCCATCAAACCCAAACCAGATCAAAACCAAACCCGAACCCAGAAGCAGCAGCAGTAACAATCAAGCCTTTGATTGATCTGCTGCTTCGTCCTCCCTGCTTGCTCTTTCTTTCGACAAATCGATTCAATTAGAGGGAAAAGAAAAAACAAAAGAAACCCGTTAATGGTGATGACGATGATTAGTGATCGCTGTTGGCTGAAGTTGTGGTGCTGCTGGGGCCCGAGCTTCGGCTCCGGACCCTCTATTTTCTTTTCTTTTTTCTTTGTTTTAATTTATGTTTTTACTTAATCGTATCGAATCGTAATGAGAATTGAATTGAATAATCGGGGAGGTTGTAAGGGTTTCAGACTTGCGGGTGTCAAATACATTGCCTTTTTTTCTCCTCTCCTCTGTGAGATAACACCTATGAAAGCCTACGCGACTGCGCAGAGTCAACGGCGTCAGATTTTGTCCGCATTGTCCATATTTAATACAAGTACATTGTAACAACGGAAAAAACGAGCAATTTATACACTAGGATAACTAGACTGTCCTCCTAATGAAGAAAAAACTACGCCACGTCCCATTAAATTATTGATATATTGATGTTACTGGTGCCAATCAACTGTAAAGATATATTATCCATACACATTTTCATAACATCTCATCTATAATGTCACCGATGATATAATGTGTTGATATCGTTGTTGTCAATCAATTGTATCCGTATATTTTCGATACAATTTCATCAACATTATCCATAACACAAAACATAAAAACCTACCAGAAATGTTAAGCCAAATTTTGGGTACATTTTGGTCTTCTAGAAAGACAAAAAAGTATTGTCGTTTAGATATCCGCCCATACATGTATATACGTATAATGTATGTAACAACGTAAAGACTTTACCAATACTTTTTTTAACACGCCGGGTTCTTGTTCAACATTCTGCAACAAGTAGCTCAAAAGCTAACAACACAATGCTGAACTACATAGTTCACAGCGGTCAACGCCCGTCACGACAAAAGACCGGGATGGCCCCAAAATTGAAGGAAAGTTAGCAGAATGAATGTAGATGAGGCCCCACTTTTTGGCATGAGAAGCGCATTTAAGTTACAGGATGCTTGGAAGGAGGAATCACCATCATATCTAGACAGACAAAAATCCTACAAGATTCTGAGCAACTTTCTAGACCAATATCCTCCATCATTAACTATCAATTCAACGAATTTACATATAATACATATACCAGAGATGAGATGCGAATCCATTTCAGACATTCCGACAATAATTCAAACGACGGAGAAATAGAATTTGCTTGAATTTTGATCAGGGGCATGGATTAGGAAACCTTTCATGAATCTTGTTGATTTCTGTAATTACTTCAGGTGTCAACTCGACCTTGCATCCATCTAGAACCTCCTGCAGTTGCCATGACTTGGTTGCTCCAAACACAACACTCGCAACAAGGGGGTGGCTCAAAACAAAAGCTGCCACATTAAAAATTGAAATGCATAAAACATAAATATCGTCAAATCTATAAGTTTAAGGACAACAACATAGTTTATGTCAAATCTATAAAAGATGTATTAGATCAAGCAATTAAAGGCGGAAATGATGCTGCAATCAGTGTTTTCCTGTATGTATGGTTTCAGCAACTAGGTTGAGAAAAAGGGAAGAGCAACGCACAAGCAAACAGGTGATTTTTCATTTTCCAACATTGTCTCCAAACCACTGTCCTAACGTGGACAAGAACGTGAAGAAACTATAAAGAATTGGAGGGAGAGGTGTCTAACCTATTGCAAGAGATACCGGGTGAACACTGTACTTCCCTGCAATATCAATGTATTCCTGTGAATGGAAATAAAAGCAGATTAGTAAATGGACGTGACGGGCAGTATTCGATAAATACAACATGCAGTAAAGAGACCAAATGCTGGAACTAGAGATAATATTCAAAATAATTTTCCTTTTAGAACAAGGAATACTGCAGACATTCATGAACTGCTATGGCACCAATGCAGAAACACAGGCTTTTATATACCCACACACCCAAGCATGCATGCATACTCTTAATCAAAAGTAATATATTGCCTTTAAAAAAATATTAATAACCACTGGGCATCATACCAATAAGACGTAAACATGACATTGAAACAAAACCAGTGAAAAGGCATGACTATCATTTTCTCACCCAGAGGGCCAGATTTTTATCAAAGTTTTGAAAAAGGCATTTGTGCTAACTTGAATTCAAAGTTCTAAATAACCTTGGATTCAGAGTAATCTTTCAACTGGCTATCAAAGTGAACAGAAGAATATTTATACCATGGCCGCTGCTCTTATGATGTGATCAGACAGGTTGTATCTGGATTCCCCTTCCGAATATTTACCTGCAAGTAGAAACATGACAGTCCAAATGAAACAAAATCACCACCTAAGAGTGCAGAAAGTTCCTACGTATCAAAAGATGAAATGAACAATTTGAAAATTGACCTCTAAAAAGATTCAACCGAGCATCTGCAGGACCCCCATCAGGCAAAAAATACTTCCCAGAGAGTATACCCATTGCAAGGGGGCTGTAGGCTAATAAACTGATCCTAAAACATTCAATAGCCCAACAGAAAATCATTAGTATTACATGAAGTGGCAGCAAATCATTTATAAATAATATAATTAAATTGATCATTTTACCACTCAATATAACTGACTCAGAAACTCCCTTGAATAAGGTTTATTCAATGGCTTACCCAGGTGTGAAAGCCATAAAAAATGAAAACCCAAAATGCATGTTAAGATAAGAAGCCCTCCCCCAAAGTGACTCTCATGTTCTCTGTTGGAATTTTAATTCCAGTTACTAATTTTATATTATTCAAGCTACTAATTAGCAAGAATATTCTATTGAATTTCTTCAAGAACTGCTCAGGACAGGATAGGAAAAGTAACATAACTTCAACTTCATCAAGAAAATGGCATGCACAAATCAAGCAAGCTTTCCCTATCATTTCATACCGGATGAAATAATTAATTGTTCAGCTATTCACTTTTTCTGAAAACCAACACTTTGAATACCTCTCATGATGACAGCATTCAGCCAACCCAAAATCAAAAGTTCGACAGAGCAAGCTGTATGAGTTCTATCAAATAGACAATAAGTTGCATTAGTCCAAAAAACAGCAACAATACAGTAAGCATTTGACTGAGAGTGCAATGATCAAATAGGCAACCTGCACAGAGACAATCTTTGGATGGCGAGTACCCCTTTCAGCTACCTGAACAAACTTCATCACCCCATATGGTGTTTCGTTACTGAGACCAACATATCTAATCTACAAAACAAACATTTCTGTTCAATTCACATGGGAATGTTATGCTCTTAAAACATTGCAAAATAGAGGAAAAAGTCACCAAACTAAATGACTTATCAAAGAAAGGGGAAGAAAGGCAACAGTATGAAACTAACCTTACCAGAATCAACAGCTCTTCCAAGAGCATCAAGTTGTTCGTCTATAGGAATCGAACAAAACTGTCGGGTTGGATCATACTCAATCTCTCCAAACATGGGAACATAGCTACAAAAACAGTCATTAATCAGCTCAAGTCTTACTAACAGGGATTGTGTAGGCATAAAGTGGAAAAAGCAAGACAAGCCGGGGTGAAGGCAAGCAAATTATGGAGTTGTAAACATATATGGTTGGGGAAAAAATAATGTGAAAGCAATGAAGGATACACCCATTGTCAAATTTAGAGTAATGTGAAAGCAAAACCCCAAACCACTAAAAGGAAGGATCTACATACAAACCGATCAGGCCAATGAATCTGATAAAGATCAATGTAATCTGTCTGCAATCGCCTTAAGCTGCATTTAAACATAACATAACTCATCACTCAGCACAGCATAACACGAAGCGTTTAAACAGAAGCAAATTACGAACTGTTTGCTTGAGCAAACCTGCCGTCAATGGCCTCGGTGATATTCTTAGCATTCAAACACTTGGGGCCATCTCGTATCCAAGTCATCTGCCCAGACGGTCCCGTAACCTGTAATATCAGAACAAATTTTCACACATCAGAAGTGAAAAGCAAGCTGGCACACCATTATTAGCATGGACTGATACTCTCAGAGCTACTTTACAACCTTGGTGGCCAAAACGACGCTGTTTCGAGGAACTCTGCGCTCTCTAATCCAACGGCCAAGGTACTCCTCGCTCCTCCCCTGGGTCTGGGCTCGCTGAACCACTGGATACATTTCTGCAGAGTCGAAGAAATTGATGCCGGCCTGGAAAGCTTGGTCGAGGAACCCAGACGACTCCGGAAACGTGTTTTGCTCGCCGAAAGTCATCGTCCCTGCGAAGAATGAATTTATATTTGAGGATGAGAGGGAGGGCCAAGGAATCAGACTCAGATTCAGAGGGTATAGAATGGCACAAGTAGATATGGGCAAGAAATAGAGTTGAACCAAAGCACAGCTTTGAAACCGTAAGATTGGGGGCGAGGTTGAAGAGAGGCACCGCCATTGCTTCGCCTGAGAAGCTCTTTGAGTTTGTCCACTGTGAGTGGAACGGGAAGGAGAAAAATCAAAGTATCTGCTATATCGGCGCAAGTTTGGTGGATTTTCGGGGGTTGGATAAGCTAAAAAGAGAACGGAGTCACCATCTGAGTGTTCGTTATCGCTAATTTTCAAAAAAAAAAAATGTTCGAAAAATGGGCCTAGGCGTCGGGTCTTCTTTTTTTTTTTTTCTTCCTGATTTTAAAGAAAACCTAGTCTTTTAGAGGCCTAGACGTCTAGCGATTTTTCGAAGTATAAAATTCCTCATTCCACCACATAATTGATACAAAATATTTGTTTACTAAAAAGACCCGCAAATAAAATTATTTTTACATTAACAACTATTTCGTGCTGATAATTGATACAAATATTTGTTAACTAGCGCTACCATTTCCCCTTATTCATATCTTATTCAACAATTTTCTATTAATTTTGGCCAAGAAAAACTATTTTCCATTAATACACTCTTCCAACTTACTTTCTTTTCCATTTCCGAAAATTAAAAGTGGATTTAGAACTTTTGTAATAACAAAATAAGGGATAAGAGGGCAACTAATTATTGTTTATTTTACAATTTAATTTTAGAAAATCCATAAAATCATTTTGGTCACATTGAATTAGATCTTCAAACATCTATAATTTTGAAGATCATAATTTTTTTGAAGATCTTAATTTTGATTTAGAAACCTAAAACATTTTCATTTTCTGGACTAAAATAAGATAATCACCCCATATATCTTTATATTTTCAATTTGATTTCTTAACCGATAAGTACCACAAATCTCATAAAAAACGCCAGTCAATTTCAATCCGCAAAGATAATTACTAAACCAAAATTCCCAAAGTTTGTGTTTACAACAAATCGCCCCCAAATTTTAACAAGCAGCTCTAAAATTCTTGAGAGGCAGATCCAATGTCTCCTTTCCCTTTACCAATCTTCTTCGGCAACAGAGTCTGATGAATGTTCGGCAAAACACCGCCATTAGCAATAGTAACAGTCCCCAAAAGCTTGCTCAACTCCTCGTCATTACGCACAGCCAGCTGAATATGCCTTGGAACAATTCGATTCTTCTTGTTGTCCCTGGCCGCATTGCCAGCAAGCTCAAGTACCTGTAACCCAGTCAAATCAAACGCCTTAGTTCACTAAAACAAACAGAGATTAAGAATCAAATTTCAGAATCGTTTCCGATCAATATCCCTTTGCAATAACAATTATTTTCTCAGTAACCAAACAACCCATAGAATGAAGAAAACAACGAAAAACAAACCTCAGCAGCGAGATACTCGAGAACGGCAGAGAGATAGACCGGAGCGCCGGCGCCAACTCGCTCGGCGTACTTGCCAGACTTAAGGAATCGAGCGATACGGCCAACTGGAAATTGGAGGCCAGCCTTGTGAGACCTGGACACGGATTTGGAAGCTTTAGGCTTGCCTCTGCCTCCCTTGGAAGTCGGCGAACTCATACTGGGATTTGAATAGGGATTGAATCTGAAACCCTAGGAGAGAAAATCGAAATGAGATGAAGAGTGTGATGCTTTGGGTTACAGGTGTCTGATGCGTGGGGGTTTGGAGAAGATGATGGGTTTATATAGGAGAGAAGGGTAGTGGGATGTGAATGGATGCTTTACTCTGATTGGTTGAGGAGGATTGCCGCGGATTGCCAGCGTGGAATTTTAATTTTCACGAACATTGAAAAAAGAGGGAAAGTTTGGTAAAACGAGGGAAGCTGGAAAAGTGCGACGCTGATTCAAAGTTCAAACTTTCTCTCCATACTTGGGCCCGGCCCATGTGGAAACCAAACATCAAAATAACAACGGCAAATGCTTGGCAAGATTTTTTCTTTTTTTCTTTTTTGTAAGACAAATTCTTAGCAAGATTGATTATTATCAGAAATTTTTGCACCCACAAAAAATATAAAATGAACCAAAAACAAGAAACATATGTAATTGGACAAAACCAAATTTGGAAATTAGAATCTGCACTGAACGATATAAACTCCAGTAGAATACAACATGGTTATCTTCCTGGAAGCAAAGCTTTACAATATGAGGTTGCTACTTCCTTCTAACAATCTAAACTACCCATCAAAAAGCAAGAGCCTTAACCGAACAAGGGGCTCAAATTTTTCTTTTTCTTCTTTTTCCTAACAACAAAATCTATCAACCCTAGAACTCCTGGGAAGCAGAACCAATCTCGCCCTTTGCTTTGCCACCCTTCTTTGGAAGCAGATTCTGATGAATATTGGGCAGAACACCTCCATTAGCTATCGTCACAGACCCCAAAAGCCTCGTAAACTCCTCGTCATTTCTCACCGCAAGCTGAATGTGTCTCGGAGTGATTCTGTTCTTCTTGTTGTCCCTCGCAGCATTCCCTGCCAACTCCAGAACCTGAGCACAACCCAAAACATCAAACAGTTAGCCAACAATAACCCACAAAAGAGAAAGAGAAACCCCAAATGAACAAAGAAGTTAATATAAAACGACGACGTACCTCAGCAGCTAGGTATTCGAGAACAGCAGAGAGGTAGACCGGGGAGCCACTGCCGACTCGTTGAGCGTACCGACCGGCCTTGAGGAACCGGGCGACGCGACCAACCGGGAATTGCAGACCGGCCTTCTGGGATCTTGAGACCGACTTGGTGCCTCTGACCTTGCCTCTGCCTGATTTGGTGGTGGCTGCTGCTGTGGAGCTCATGGTTCTCGATTTGGGAATTTCAATTCAAGTTTGAAAAAATTCAAGTCTTTGGAATTTGGAGATGCCTTCAAGGTTCAACCGTGTGAGTTTATATGGACGGAAGGGTCAGTGCCAGAGAGCGTTTGATTGGTACGGTGAGGTTTCACGCGGATCGCTGACGTGGCTGTGGAGGGGGATGATTTGTATAGATTTGAAATGTTTCGAGCCCGCGAATTGAAATCTCAGTTCGACTGTAACTTTCGAATTCAAAAAACGACGTCGTCGTCTCCTGTGGGTCATCGTCCGGACTGGGCTTCGCTTATGATTGGTCTAAGCCATGGGTTTGTGGGTTGAGGTTGACCCAACCCAAACAATTGACTAGTTTATATCTGGGCTTCTCTTAATGTGGTCTGGGAGCCCAATTTGGTTTTGACCACATTCAATGAAACCCCAATTTCATGGGCTGTTTCCTCTTGCTTTCATATCGTTCTTCTAGATCAAGTCTATAATATAGTTCAATAGTCACATTCCTTCGTGGCTGATACGTTCAAATTCAGTTGAATTGATCATTAAACCCTGCTTGGGGAATGAACCAACCAATTGATAAGATACAAGAATAAAGATTTTTGTTTATTTTATCAATAAAATACTATCATTTTTTTATCAATAAATAATTGCAATAATAACTTCGTAACTCCATGTCGATTTTTCAACGTCTAATACCATCCGATGAAAATTAAGAACCATATATAGTTCCCACATGCCCGACAAGACCAACTTCATAGTTGAGATTGTTGGTGGATTTGTGGGCATGTAAATTGTAATGTATAACAATTGTTAGCTCAGGTAGGTGCATTGAAATTTGAATTCTAATGAAATGAGTTTGACCTGAAATCAGATCCGCTTCCAAGATATTCAATTATATTCATCTCACGCGCCCCATATTGCTTGCAACTTTTGCAATCTTTATGACAATAGCAGAAACTAAAGCCGGCAAAGTTTTGAACGAGTCTTATTTCATAAACTTGAATCATTTGATGAAGAATACATGGGCTCGTTTCGAAGTGATTCTGCACAGGTTAATAAGCACTTCACTATATAATCACTATAAGTGGTTTTTAGTGACTCTTGGATATCCAAGTTTGGAAGAAAATAAAAGGCTTGAACAAGCATCGATTGAATTTAAAACAAAAATCTCAGTTCATTTTAGGTGCTTGTAAAACTTGATTTCTCGCCGTAAGTTACATATGAGACTGAACTGAAGCTTCGTCAGAGGCCATCTTGGTTCCCTATAAATGGGAGTTTTACTCACTTTTACAACATGGTTGTGGAGGGGAAACACAATTATAACTCCTACATCTCTCTCTCTACCCCAACCATTCAAACTCATCATCCCACATTATACAACAAACATCCGAAAATCGACATAACTATATACACATTTGATTGCATAGTGCATCATAACATAACAAGATAATTCAACAACACATAATGATATTCATGATATCAGTTCTTCAAGCTCGCTCTTTTTCATGACACAAAGGCTGGACAAGAGCTGGGTGGTTCTTGAAACGGTCCAAATTGATAGGCGTCATACCCTCCAAACTCTTCACATTGGCTCGAGCTCCATGAGCAACCAACAGCAGAGCAACCTGCACGTGCCCCGCTTCCACCGAGCAATGCAGCGGCGTGTACCCAGCATCATCAACCACATCAACCTGAGCACCATGGTTAAGCAACACCTTCACACACTCAATCCTGCCTTTGAATGCAGCCCTGTGCAAAGGGGTCCACCCATTTTGGTCCCTCCCATTCACGTCTGCCCCTTCCGCAAGGCTACTCTTCAACCCATGCGCATCGTCCAACCTCGCCGCCCGGTGCAGAACGTCGTCGTAACGCAGAACACCGAGCAGGCCCGAGTGCCCATTAGCCGCGGCTATGTCAAAAGCCGTCCTTCCATCTCTGGTGACGGCATACTTGACATTAGAGCAATCTAACAAACACTTGGCGGCCTCCAAATGACCCTTCTCCGCTGCGCAATGAAGAGGGCTCCAACCTTCACAGTCCGAAACCTCAGCATTGCCTCCAACCGAAATACAAAACTTCAACGTCTCGACGTGACCGTGCGCCGCCGCGACGTGGATCGGAGTCCGACCTTCCGGGTCGACCCAATTCAGGTCGATCCCGGCGAAACTCTTGCACAAAATCTCAATCAAATCGAGCCGGTTTATCGCCGCCGCTTCGTGCAAAACCATGTCGGCCGAATTGTTACCAATTCCGCAGCCGGAGGCTATCAGAACCTTTACAGTTTCAACGTTTCCGGCTCCAACACCCAGAGATAGCAAAGACCCAGAATCCGAATTTCTCTGATTCACAACCGCACCGGCGTCAATCAGGTCAGAAACCAAGTTGGCATTCCCAGAGGCTATGGCGGGTTTGAGTAGCGCAGTGAGGTCAGATACAGAACACCCAGAAATCGCTTTGTTGAAGAAAGAATCAAATCCCGAGATTCGGGTTTGCTGGGAAATGAGAAATTCAACCACATGTGGACCCACGAAGGCGATGGGTATGGTGGCGTCCTTGAAAACGTGGGGCCCAGGCCTTGCGAACAGACGGCGGAGATCGTCCTGATGCGCCTTGCCGGTGGGGAGCATGGAGGTTTTGACGTTGATGACGTCATGAGGGGTCGACAGAGGGAGAGGGGGTTGATCAGACGGCTGAGAAAGGAAGAGGCTGTAGGATGCTGAGGAGAGCGGTGGGATTATGGAGAAGGGCTGAGAAAAGGAAAACAGAGATGGGTTTGTGGTGGTAAGAGACACAGCTACAGACATGGTGTGCATGAGGTTGCTTAGCCTGAACGTTGTGCTGCACTTTTGGTCTCTCTTGAAGTTGAGCTCAACTTCTTTCACGTCTGGCTTCACCAGTCTGTCCATGGCGAAACTGAAACTGACCCTCTGGTGTTCTTGTTTTCTTTTTTTCTGGGGAAGGTTTGGTTTGATGGGAACTGATTCGAAATGAAGAAGCTGAAAACGGAGACTGGGAAGGTGGGGTGATCTTTTCCTTTCGTTTTCGTTCAAAAGTTGTATTATTATTATTATTTTTTTTATAAATATTTCTGTGGGAGTTTAATTGTTTATTGGAGAAGTTATATGGTTGGTTCAGGGTTTTGGTGTGTAAAGAAATTGAGAGAGGTGGGGACTTTGACAATGAGAGAGAGTCGTAGTTGTTGGCTTTGTTTGAATTTGAAATCTTGAAGATTGAACTACCTCTCTTCAAGAGGGGGAGACAGATTGAGGTACATATTTTCCGTAATTTTAAGTGTTCAAACTTCAACTTGATGACCAAGTGGGTGAGGCTGTGTGGTGGATTTCCTAGTAGGCTCCATGTTCTCATAAAATTTCCAACAAAAAGTCAGATCATTTTGCTGAAATTTCTGAGGCGAGACCACCAAGTTTAGGCAGCTGATAAGGATGCTCAGCTGCGGAAATTACTATTCTATGGCGTGTGATTTAAAATATAACATTATCATTAACGTTAAATGGGATCTGACTCATCGCAGCCTAACATTTTTAGCTTCTTCCTCAACGCTGATATGTAGTGCTCGTTAAATAGCCATAATTTGATGTTTTATAACTCGAGTGATTATGAGTTGTTATCTATGCATTTGAGATTCTGTGTTCGAGTCCTCTCCTTCAATATCATTTGTAACAGAAAAAAAAGAAAGTAAAGTAGTTTTGAAACCTCAGCAGCAAGCAGCATGCGTTGCTTGATTGTAATTTGTAAGACACAGAATGCCGCTAGATATACTGTTACCTGTTCTTGCAAAACAGTTTTGAGTTTACATGGGCTCCATTAACACACAAGCGACAATGATTGCCCTTTGACTAATGAGAAATGCCGTGAATTTCGATTAGTTTATGTTGTTAAACCTAATAAGATGCTGTCAAAATATAAAAATGTACATTATAAATGGACCACTCATCGGATGTTTATGCCCATAAAAAATACATTATTGTTTATTTTGTTTATTCAATTTATTGAACCAACCCAATAGTTATCAATTTTTTTATGGTATATATTCGTGTCATCAAGCTGGTTTTTGTATTGTTGCATTTCGTGTTTGTTCTTTTCTTTCTAATAGTAAGGAATCGATGTAGTGATTTTCGGCTCAATATGAGAGAGAAGATCGAAAGCATATTTGGCATATTCTTCGGAAGTTGCAGGATTTGATTTTTTTCTCCCAAGATTTTGTGTCGCTTTTTTATATCATCAAGAGAAGAAAAATTTATTTGTAACGGATATAGCACTGTTTAGCTTATTATAAGCCAATAGTATAATGACACGTGGAAACGTTATTTTACATGTCATTGTGTTATTGATCGAGGATAACAAAACAATGTTATTCCCGTTACATGAGAGGATTTCTTTATGATGAGACCTGGATTGGATTATTTGCTCTTTTTTCACTTGTTAACAGCATAGAATTTGATTTTGGACTTGCTGTAAGTTAGTGTGCATTGTTCTTCAGCCTATGCTGAAGTCCATGACCCAAAGCCCACTTGCTGAATTATGTTAAGCCCTCATCTTTTGTACAGTAAATATTTTGAGGATTAGGCCCATCTTGAACAGACTTGTCACCAAGTATTTGCAACATGCAATATAATATGGGCCTTAAGCTACCCAATAAAAATAAAATAAAAACCCATTGCTAAAAGCCTGTGATGACAGAGACTCACCAACCAAACAACCAAATTATTTTGCTCATTTTTGCTGCGCTCTGTTATGTAACCAAAGATGCATCTTTTAGATCCAGGATGGGTGATCTTTGGGAAGTCCTAAAATGAGTGACCTTTAGGGAAGTCCTAATGTGCATCTTTTAGATATAGCCCAATAAAAAACGAAAAACTATAGAAACCGAAATACTTGACACGGGGTGCTGGCTAAAGGGTTGTTGCTGCTGCTCCGGGGGTCTTTGCCCCCTTTTTTCACCAAGAAAAATATACCTGACACAGCCAATGGGGTTTACCTGCGGTGGTTTGGCGGCATCTTTTCCCGTCTTTTGAACTGGCATCCGGGTTCGAAACTCCCTTATGTAATCAACAAAT